GTAGCTTTAAATGTTACAAATGTCAAGTGTCCTATAATTTCATGGCTTCCTACACTTGAAAAGGAGGACTTGAAGACATCAGGAATTCACTCAGTCTTTTTATTTTCACCAATGAGTGAGAACCAATAAACAGAACAGAGCAGAGCAGGTGAAAAACCTACAAAAACACATACAAAATACTTTAACATACATTTTAGACATTTGGTTCAAAGTTAATAATTATCTTAATGACTATTTCCATTTTTAACCTTAAACATACATTTCTTTTATGATTTTAACCATAAATTCAAGTGTTAAATTATTAAATTCCATATCTGGTTGGATTTGAACCAAACAAAACCAAACATTTTAGAATTACATTTCATTTCTTTTTCTTAGTTAGTGGAACCAAACTGTAAAACTAGCAGTGCAAACTTTTACTTCAATAAATTCTGCATTTAATTTCTCTAATCTGAAACTAAAGTTAAATTGCAAACAATTGAGCCCAGTTAATGGCTTACCGGTAGTCCTTTTAAGTCCTTTCCCATGAAATGCTGCTTTGGAGGCTGTGTTTGCCTTCCTCAGCTCTGTTGCAAAACCAGTAAAGCTGTTTGTGGATTCCTTATTACCTGAGTTGAGGGTGCTGCTGATTGGGCCAGATTTCTTTCACCTGCTGAGAAGTGCTGCAGAGTGGCACACTGAAATGTGTGTGTGTGTATGTGCACACACAAATGTCTGTTCATGCACCTCCATCTGAACTAATGAGCAGATCTGCGCAACACCTCCCACTCGATCTTGCAAGGTTTTACCTGGGAAGATCGCATTTTTTAAGTAAGCTGGTTCCCTCTGCTTGGTCTTCTGCTGGGATGAGCACTACAAGGCGCCGGACGTCCCGATGGAGTATGGTGCCCTGAACCTCCTTCACCAATCCAGAACATTTCACAGAAGGTTTGGGTGCATATCCTGAACTATACCCACTTGGAGAAACTTCCACATAAACATCCCGGACTATGCCATTGCAATCAGGATTCACAGCAACAACTCTACCCATCTTGAATTTCCCTCTTAGCGTGTTTTGGTCACAGAGCCAGACCACATCGCCAATAGCAACATTTCTTTCAGCAGTATGCCACTTGCCACGGACAAACAAGTTGGGACCTGCAAGTTGACTCCAGGACCTCCAAAAGTAGTCAACTTGAGTTTGTATTTCTCGCAGCCTTTTAAAGGGATAAGTGGTATAGTCAAATGTCTTGAAATCTCCACTTTGTGTAGCTCGACCGAGCAACAGGGTGTTTGGAGTGATGTACTGGATTCGATCTTCATGACTCTGTACTCTAGCATCAATAGGTCTTTCATTGGCTAGATTGGCAGCTAGCTTAACTGTTGTAAGAAACTCACTGAAGGTAAGGCCTTCCACTCTGCCAAGACTTTGGAATGCTCTTTTAATGATCTTGACAGCAGCTTCAGCTGCGCCGTTGCGATGTGGTGAATCGGCTGGAAGAATTTTCCATGTCCAGTCAGTCCCATTTTTTGCAGCATACTCTTCAAGTGAGAATTTGTCTTGCTGCCTCAGGTATGCATACATTTCTTGCAAAATGGGTTTTGCCCCAATAAAGTTCATACCTGGGTCAGACCACACCTTCTGGGGATGTCCTCTGATGGATGTAAACCTCTGATAGGCAAGTATGAAGCTCTCTGTAGATACCGTGTTTGCCAGTTCAACATGAATGGCTCTACTTGACATACAGCAGAACAACACACCCCAAACTTTCATGCTCACTCTTTTCTTGACGTCATCTTTCACTTGGTAAGGGCCAAACAAATCAACAGAAATGAACTGAAATGGTGCACTTGGACTAGACCTTTCTTCAGGCAGATCCCCCATTATTTGCTGACAGGTTTTTGCTCTCATCTTTTTGCACAGTACACACTCATCAACAACTTTTCTGGCAATGACTCGTCCTCTGATGACCCATGCTTTCTTCCGCATACGCAGCAAAGTTCCTGCCACTCCATCATGTCCTTCACTGTGTGCTGCTTGGGCTAGAAGGGTGGAGATCCAAGATTGGAAGGGCAACAGAGGAACGGCTCTGTGGTCCTCCTTAAAACTCTGAACTCTGCCGCCACACATCAAGAGCCTAGTTGTTTCATCTTTGTAGACAACAAGTCTATCAGTCGTTGTAGTTGGAAATTGTACACCTTCTTGTGCTGCCAGGCATAGGTCTCTGAACACATCTTCTCTTTCGCCAACTGAGGCGAGTTGAGGGTGCTGCTGATTGGGCCAGATTTCTTTCACCTGCTGAGAAGTGCTGCAGAGTGGCACACTGAAATGTGTGTGTGTGTATGTGCACACACAAATGTCTGTTCATGCACCTCCATCTGAACTAATGAGCAGATCTGCGCAACAACAAATGAACAGTATATGAACATTTTATAACGCAAAACATAAGACCTGTCCACTGTTGTATTTAAACTGTCTCCAGTTTGCATAATTATATTTTTATCAGGTTAATTTCTTACTAACTTTTTATGTGTTTTGTGTGTTTCAAATCACACCAATAACAAAAGGTTTCGGCTCAGACTATAAGTTGAAATCAAACTGGGAAACTCAAACTCTTTCTTTTTTTAAGTATTGTGTTTGATATGTTAAATTCTTTGTTTTGACACAACTTTCAACACCTCAGCTGATCAAATTTGTTAGATAACTTACAAACCGCAAATAAACCAAGAAATGATCTAATATTAAAAATAGTGTGAAGAAGTTTATCCATTAGGAAAGCAGTTTACTGCTGGACTCCTGGCTTACAAGAACATTTTCAAACATAAGCTATGGTCTCTTAAATAATAAAACTACCACAGAAAAATTGCAATTATTTCTAGATTTTTTATAGACTCAACATGCTGCAGTGTGAAGTTGGTAATTAAATATTAATTAATTTGTAATAGAATTTAATCTAGCCATGAATACATTGTTAAAAACCCTTAAAAAAATGTTCAATTAATTTTATTTCTAAACTGTACCTCTAACTTTTCGGATCACTGCATTAGGCAAACATGAAATCTGAATGTGAATATTAAGCAATGTCCAAGCAATGTCCAAATATGAAAAGAAAAGTTACAAATCATTATAAAGAAAAAAATTATAATTGGTGAGTGAAGAAAATGATGGTGGTAGTTTTTTTTTTTTTCTCTAGCTTTTCATTTGGTGTTCATATATATGTATGTATATTCTAACCACGTTTATGAGCATTCTGGATTTTCTCAAAGTGTCTATTTTCACTGGGTTATATTAAAAAAGTACGGACATACATTTTTTATAGTATAAGATTCACCATGTATTAGGATTATAATCTGTACAGTAAACAAAAACGCAGGTGTATGATTTGGGAAGAAAGGGTTGTGATTTCCCTTCTGTCAGGTCACCTTACTGGGGAGTTTTCCCTTTCAGCATGTCTGTGTTTTTGATTCTTTTACAAATAAATTCATGAATCAAAATCCGGAATAATTTGATATATGAACTAACAAAATATTTTCAAATTACAAATACGCTCTATTGGATAATGTCTCCCACCCCGTGCATGAAGCTGTTGCAGAACTGGAGAGCTCCTTCAGTGACAGACTGCTGATCCCTAAATGCACCATGGAGCGTTATCACAGATCCTTCCTCCCAGCAGCTGCAAGAGTCTATAACCACCACTGTTCCCAACAAACCCAATAAGTTGTTACAATCATGCTGATTTTGCACAATTTGCATCTTAGTCAGTTAAATACATTTGCTGCTGTCATTTTGCACATCTGTGATGTTGCTGCTATTTAAAAAAATTAATTGATGTAAAAATGCCATAGCTGTATATTGGTTATTTATTCTCCAGGTGCAATATGGCGAGCCGTTTTAACATAAATTTGGTTTCATCTGAGCATCCATAATTACGTTCCAGATATCTTAAAATACATTTTGACTAGACAAAACCAAATTTTGAATATCCGGAATGGTAATTTAAGATATTTGTATTTATGTTCTGATTAGGAAGAATAATAATTCGAGATATCTTAAATTACATATAGACTAGTCAAAACTCTTTTCAAGATATCTGAAATTACGGCACCGGATTTGTCATTTAAAGCGTCACATGCTGATTAAACTTTTCCTCCTGTGGAATAAACTGACAGTAAGGAATTTTTTTTAGGAATGATCCTCCTGGAAGCCCATTAAAAAGATCATGACACATTTTGACTAGTTAGAATGTCAATTTAAGATATCTTTAACTCCTTTAGAGATATCTTAAAATTTATTTTGAATAGTCAACATTACAATTCAATATATCTTTACATTTGTTTTGTCTAGTCATTATTTGCTTTTAAGATATCTATAATTGATTTTCACTAGTCAAAACCACATACCTCCTATCCTAAAATGCATTTAAGATATCATGAATTATGATGGTATTTGAGATATTTTTAATTAGAATTATGACTAGTTAAAACTAAAATCAAGATATCTTGAAATTACTTTATGACTAGTCGTAATTTAATCTTAGATATCTGAAATGTGTATTTCAGACAGTCAGTATAATTCTAGATATCTTAAATTGAAGTCTCCATACAAGTTAATGGTAAATCTGACTATGGCATAGTTGCACAGTGTTTATAATCCTAAAACAGTATTTTATTTGTTTATTTTAACTCTCCACTATTATGTTATTCTTATGCACTTTTCTAAGGTTTGTGAGACCATTTTTCTATAATCGTTTTGCTGCTGTAAACACCAGAATTTCCCCATTGTGAGACAATAAAGGGATTTTCTATTCTATTCTATTATATACATCGTCACGCGCGCTCAGACATAACGCTTCACCTCCATGAAGAGTTTTTGCACACGCCGCGTGACGTTTCAGAGACAACCACTCGAAGACAGAGAGAGAGAGAGAGAGAGAGAGAGAGAGAGAGAGAGAGAGAGAGAGAGAGAGAGAGAGAGGTGGCCCTGGAGCCCGTACGCTCTGCTTAGGTGGAAAGAGGTTTGTGCCCTAAAAGAACAGTAATTTCCCCCATTATCGCTAACCAGCGGTCGGTGAACCTGTGTCTAAACACGAGATGTGAATCTCCGCAGGGATAGTTTCTCAGTGCGCGAGCGACGTTCGCTGCGGCACCCTATAGATAAGAAAAAAAGTAGCTTGATGAGAATCCAAAGTAGTGGAAGTTTGGAGGGGACGCCATCTTTGGTCCCAGCTCTCCACGTCCCCAACACGGACTGTGTTTTCAGCAGCTTACCACGGCAGGGGTGAAGGCCTCGGAAGGTATCGTCAAAACGTCTTAAAATCTCTAAATCATTCGTGCTGAAGACTCTTCATTATTCGGAGTGGGGCGTTAAAAAAAATTCGTGTCAAAACTACCGAACAAAATTTGTTAGTGAAAGCTGCTAACGTTTACAGTGAAGCTCCAAAGTCCATTGAGCCTGTTTGGCTAGCTAGTAGCACCGAGGACAGGACCGTAGCTTAGTGCTCAGGCCAATGCTGTAACCTTTAGAAAAACAACCCACATTACTGTTTTAATAAAACACCTTAACTAAAGGACACGTTTGAAAAACAGCAATTGGCTTATCTTTTACGAGAACATCACGTCGCTGTGATGGTTAACACTGACCGAGGCAGTTGATGCCTGTAGAAAAAGCAGTTTCTGGAAGTAAATGTTGTACCGTAACGTCCAGGGTAAAGGTGTGCATCGCTTCGTTTGCTCTCCTTTGTGTCCCGATTGTTTTGTTTACCTACATCGATGTTAATTATGTTCTGTTGCTGGATGTTTTTGCTATCCTAACGGGACAGGATTTCACACAGACTAACCTACTGTTTCTTAGACGACCCCTTGCAATGGATGCTAACGCATGGCATCCTTGCGCAAAACAAATCTCTTAATTTGAGTTTTTTTGTAAAATTGTCAATAATGAGGAAATTTATTTATGTATTATTCTCTGTGAATATTAATTCCGGCTCTTTTAGGGTCTGTACTTTTCACCTAATTATTCGGTGATGGAGGATTGAGTTCATATTTGTCCCCCCCCCCACCCTGCTCCTTTGGGTTATCACTGTAACATACTCGGACTGACAACAATGATGGCTGCCTACATCAGTGAGCCACTTGTCATTGTTAGTTTGTTTCTCCTCCTGGTTTTGCTGATGAAGTTGTCTGTGATTAGGTGTCAACTGCTCCCTCATATCATGCCTAAAATTTCTTTCTAACTCTCAATGAGTCCTCCATAAACAGGTGGTCAGTCTGCTGAACAGCATGGAGTTAAAATGACATCCACAACAAGGGCTGTAAGGGTTCAACCTCAAGCTCCAGCAGGGGCTTGAAGATAGATAACAGTCATGCACTAAAGCCTTGGTGTTTGAGACATAAAGAAAAAAATGTATGCATGAAACTAGTGATCATATTTTGGTTATCATATGCAGGATTTGTATAGCCTCCATGTATTCCTGAAAAATACATTATTTATCTTAATTATATTGTAGTAAGGTTATATTGTGGGAATTGCAGCATATTACAATTAATAACATGTTATTCATTTTTCCTCATATGAAAGGTAACACATTAATCATCAGATTATGTTTTCATTAGTTTTTTTGGATGCAAAATGTTAAATGGAAAAATCTAAATGAACCGCAACCCATATAAATAGTAGCTTTGAGCTGCTATTTGTGTGGCATATTCCCCCTTTTTGCTGTTCTGCTTTTTATAGGCTAAAGGTGGATTTATAATGCAGATATGCCCCTTCCGCAGACACTAGTGACTGCAGACAGGAGGTCTCTGATTGGTCAAATCTATTTCCTGTTTGGTACCTTGCCGGCTTGTTTTCTTTGTATGACCGCCATTATGGAAAATGACTCGTGAAGATGGACAAGCTAGAAGAGCAAGGCTGAGACCCTTTTTCCACCTGGATCCCCGTTCTTTTTCGCCCTCATGTCTCTCCGTTGTCGCACATACTCGCCCCCACTTCCTCACCGCCTTGACCGCATCTAGATCCTCAGCTACTTCGTGATTGTCCCCCTTACCTTGTAGCGTGGAATAACATATGCTTCAACATTGGGCATTAATCAAATATATCTGTGTCATACCCGCAACAAGCTCACTGCGACACACAGCTGCGGGAGTATAACCAGCCCTTAACAGTTCAATCAGCTGATATTTTCTGTTTGATTGGTTTGGTTATTTGCCAGCAATAAATGCAAAAGCTTGTTTTTTGTTTTGATGCCGATCTGTCGCATATCGCACCTTATCGGGGTAATTGAAATTGGACTTATGTTGAAGATGTTTGAGTTGTGCAGATTTTTTTTTTCTTTTACAGATTCAGTTCTTACAAAAACAAAAATATTTCTCCTAGATTTATAGAAGCATTGTGTTGTTATTCTGCTATAGGATTAGCACTGTGCAGTAAATGTGGACCTTTTGGCTTGCTGTTTGGCAGATTTCACATGGAGTGCATCAGGGATGTCCCGAAACAACTTTTTCATTTTCTTAATATCAGATTATGACATCCATTACGTGTTGCCTAAATACTGTAAACAATGGCCCTAAGCTAAAGAGCAAAATTGGGGAGTTTGAAAATTTAACATTTAGTCAACATTTCTTATCTGAAATCAATGGAATCTTCTGCTATTCTACATCCAAATTAAACAAATCAAGATCCCTGCGAAAACCAGCAAAATGAAGAGTTATAGAAGTAGCACCTCCCTGGAGGGCTGGTTGAAAGCCTACAACAGCTGCTTCCTGTGGATTTTGCAGTTCTTATTTTGGAGATCATCACTACCAACACTGAAAATACCAGTCATTTATTACCAGCATGATTTATATTTGCCCAGGTTAAAGGTGAAAGCTCTGTCGTTTAGCTGAACAAGCTGGAAATAAAGCAGTCGTAGAGACTTGTATAGTCTCTTCACATCTTAACATGTCTCCTTAATCGTTTTTGGCAGCTTTTTGTTTGGTTTTTGACCTGAAGCTGCTTAGATAAATAAAAAAATGCAAGCTGTATTCCTGTGGTCAGAGGCAGATGATTCGACAATAACATTTCCTGCAGATTTGATTGGAAGTCAAAGACCTATTGTGAGGAAATGAACAAAGACTAGTTTGTTGAAGCCTTGGGAGGGGGAGGAGGAAATTGAGTGACTGCCAAATTGTTTCCAACATTTGTCTTATTGCACAGGAACTGGAATTTTTATTGCAGTTATCAGAAAAAATGTGAGCCTAATTTTGCAGTAATAGTTCCCTAAAACACTGATGTATACATACATTTAATCAAAAATAAATGATGCCTTGATGAGCTGGATCAAAACCTTAAAAGATAAATGATGGTTCAGATGTAGTATTTCGTTTTTTAGGTATAGTGCATATAAACTACAGATTGAGTCTTATAATGTTTATGTTGTACAGATTCCTAATATTATAGTATAGTATAGGGCTGCACCTATTGATTATTTTAATAATTATAATGTACAATGCAATTATATGCTTATAATGTACATTCGATCACTACTGCACTTTTTGAATGGAAATGTTTTGTCTTTTTCCACTGCTAAGCTGCTGCTCATTCACTGACAGAAAACTGTATAAACTAAATTTCATGTTGTATACACTATTCAAAAGGACAATAAAGTTAGTCTAAGTCTAATAATTGTTAATATAATTATTTATTTTCATATGAATCTAACAGAGGTAATCTCACTAAATTAACATACCTCAATATAGAATAAAATCACATTTTTTAAAGCAGCTTTATTGCATAATGGCTTACTTTGTGTCCTTGTCCATCTATAAAAAGCTGTTTGTCACTCAGTAACACTAAAGTAGGGTACAATAATTTATCAACAATTTCACCTCTTTGAGTCATAAGCTGCTTTCTCTGTCCATCTCTAATAACAAATCTCTAATTAACAAAGACATTTGTTTGAAAATAAGTCTTTTTGTATAGTCTGTGGCAGTGATCATTTGTTCTGTAAAACATTTACATGGTCTATGTTGCCTAAGGCAATGTTTTTCTAAATGATTGTTCTCATTTTTAAATGTATTTCATTTTTTTTACTCATTTTAATCGGATCTTGAATTTTCTATCCTCTTACATTGCTAGTTGCTTAGCTAAGGTGGTAGCTTTTCAGAAATGGTTGTCTCATTAAAGCCCAGGTTTAGTGTACAGGCACCTCTGAGTCTGCAGCAGCACAGAATCCCAAGGAGCTCCTGTATCATTCCCCCAGGAGCTCAGCATTCAGCATCGCCTAGCAATTGAAGCATTCCTTTTGGACTCTCAGGATAGCAGCATTTGCAGCAAAGAAAACGCTGTAACCGCTGCGTTCCTGGAACAAATGTTTGACACCTGTATATATTAGTTTTTTTTTTTTTTTTTGTGTTCAATTCAATTCAATTCAATTTCAATTCAGTTTATTTATATAGCGCCAAATTCACAACACATGTCATCTCAAGGCACTTTACAGTTCAACAGTTCACTTTACAGTGTTAATGTTCTTGCTAATACAGTGCCCTTTGTCTGCTCTGTATTTTGCATCCAAATAAAATCAAATAACAGGTGTTCTATGTATCGTTGCTTATCAACACAGGCACTATGGATGAGCTGCACAGCCTGGACCCCCGCAGACAGGAACTACTGGAGGCACGTTTTATGGGTGGGGTCAGTGGCAGCACAGGTGGGAGCACTTGCAGCACAAGCGGAGGAACCAAAGTGAGTCAGTGTCCCGATGTCGTTGGTTAACCCTTTTTTATGTTCAATGTTTTGTTTGCAGTATGTATAGTAGGGCTGCAACAACGAATCGATAAAATCGATAAAAATCGACTTTTAAAAGCGTTGGCAACGAATTTAATCATCGATTAGTTGTGTCGCGCGATTAATGCGTCATCCGCCGCCGCCGTCATCCGGGGGAAGAAAAAAAAATATGACGGAGCGAGTCAGCGCCGCAGTTGCAGTGTTGCCAACTCAGCGACTTTTCAGACCCCTCCAGCGACTATTTTTCAAAAAAGCGACTGGCGACAAATCTGGCGACTTTTTACGGTGTCACTGGCGGCTTTTGCCTGCCGTGGGGCGCCTCCCCCATCCCAACCCCTTTCTCCCTCTCCCACAGGAATCCCTCTCAGCGCGGCAGTCAGAGTCAGAGCCGCAGGATTTTAGTGAGGAGTTTACCCTCAGCGTCCAGACTGCAAATGAAGCGCGCATGCGCCGGGATTGACGGCGCAAATTGATCACAATAATTAAAATAGCCTGCGCTTTGTAAAGTGAAAAAAGTCGTAACATGCAACTTTTGTAAAAACAAATGAACATGGCACGGAAGCACCACTGTTATGACGCAGCACCTGAAAAGAAAACACGTTGGAGCCTTCAATGGCAGTGAAGAGAGCTGATCAGCAGGATGAGTAACCATGTTTGTTTCATTTTAAAGAGGGGAAACGTAACGTTAGTTTCTCAGTTCGCTCATCTGATGCTTTCCTTACCTTGTTAGTAGGTTACAGACAGTGATAAGGTTGGCTACTTATTTTACTTTTAATTTCATTTAAATTTGGTTAAGCAGCGTTTATATTTTCTTTATAAATAAATTAACTTGCAAATTATGAGGGCAAGGCTTTTAAAGTTTAAATCTTCTGGCAAAGATAAAGAAAAGAAGATCCTGCAATTTATGGAAGTAAAGCAGAACAAAATCCAGCAAGATCAGTAATATGTCAATTAATTATCTGCCACATTCCCATGTAAATATCTGTCTTTGGAGGATGTGTTTTTTTACCACCCCTAGTTCTCTCATTTTTATTCCAAATACAATTTATAATTAGAATCACAGGGCTATTTTTATCTCTATGGTTCAGTATTTTCTCAAGTAGCAACTTTAACTGCTATACTTTCCTGTCTTAAAAGGCAGAACTCTTCTAGTCTAAAAAAAACTCATTTGTTGAAATGGGGGGACCTATTGTTTGAACCCCTTAGGGGCTTTAAAAAACAAAAATGCCTGTCTCTTTTTGCGCTTTATGAAACAAAGTAGCCTATATTTTGTGGATGTACAGCTACATTTCTCATGTAAGTTTGCGTAGTTTTTACACAAACATTTATTTTTCATATTGCACCAGTACAGTTAATGAGCAACCTGTACTTGTGTGCTTGTTTGTTCTGTCTAAAATGTTTATTTTGGAATAAAGAAGTTAATATAAATTTTTTTTTTTGTCCGATTCATCGATTAATCGAAAAAATAATCGGCCGATTCATCGATTTTTAAAATAATCGTTAGTTGCAGCCCTAATGTATAGTTGGTCACCTGAATTAAAGCAATAATTTTTTTTTTCTCCTGCAGGGACTGACCAACAATGAATGTTCAAATCATAGTTTTGGAAGTTTGGGATCCTTGAGTGACAAGGAGTCAGAGGTAAGACACCAATGTCCTGCGCATCCATTTTTACTGTTTGAGGAACGGAATGAGAATCCTTTTTATGAATGCAGTTAAAGCTGTAGTCCCAGTTGAATTGCGATACTCATCAGTGGACCGATGAGTGCAAAATTGTAATTGCAGAAAAAGAACTGGATGGATGGTAAATCTCAGCATGCTAAAGATATAGTTGACCAGTTATATTGACTCTCACTCTCCTTGATGCAAAAATGTTCTATACACATTAGTGACAAACCTTTTTTCAAAGGAAAATCTAGTTGTCAAAAAGCAGTTCTTTTCATCCTAGAGGAAAGATGTCAGCTCAACGTAGCAGCCAAAGACGCAGTTTGGAAATTTTTATGTAAGAGGAAGAAATGATGGAAAACTTAAGACTGGAATTTCAAATTTCATAATGAACTGATTAATAATTGATAAACTTATTATTTTTTTAAGCTGCTTGTTTTGTCCCAAGTACCTATACATGGGTCTGATGTTTTTATTTAAACCTATAGTTGTCTTGTGTATCTGGTCATTGGTTAAAGAAATTAGATTTTTTTTCAATTGACTGTATTTGGAAAACATGTTAAATTAGCTAACCTCATTAGATTTTTGTTCAGTACTCCATTATTCTTTCTGTGTATTTATATATCCTCTATGATGTTGTTGTATGGAATGGTGTAATCCTTGTTGTTTTTCTGTTTTTTTGTCATCTATTTCTTGGTAAAAGATCACATTTGATAAAAGTCAGAGTTTATAGGCTTGTAGTTTAGTGATTCCGACCAGGTTTTATTTTCATAAGCTATATTGTTTCCAATAAACTATTCATTACAGAGTTTAGTTTGGGTCAAAGGTGGTTTTGGCAACAATAAGTGTTTAAAAGGATGAATTGATAGAAAAAAGAAATGTTCTCTGATAGTATGACAATCAAAATAATCTCATCAGAACAAATTTTTCTCAGGGTAGCTTTAAGGCATTGATAAAAAATACGCATACATGACACAAAAGACCTTAAAAAATAGACTGTTCACCAGGAGCTGAACTGGAGGAACTAATATCACTCTTTTGTGTTGGTGTGTATTCTTTGTTTAAGGGGGTGTTCCAATTAATCTTAGGCTACGTTCACACCGCAGCCTGAAGTGACCCAATTCCGATTTTTTTGCCCATATGTGACCTGTATCTGATCTTTTTATGACAGTCTGAACGACACAGATCGGATTTTTTCAAATGCGACCCAGGCCACTTGGATATGTGGTCCTGAATCCGATACGTATCTGATCTTTTCAAATGCGACCTGTGTCTGTACGGCCAGGTCACATTCATCCGACCTACACGTCATTGATACTTGACAAATATTACTAAACGTTACTAATCTGCGTCCTACTAAGCGGAGGCGGGAAAAACTAACAACCATGGCGGAAGATAACACAGAGAGCAGTCAATGGAGAGAAAGTGAGGTTGCTGACTTAATTCATATTTAGAAAGCTCGATTCAGACCAAACTCGAAGGGTCTTACCGGAACCGGGGGAGGGTCTTTCTTTTTGATCTTCTTAAAAAGATTTCGTTCGTAATGTGCCTGCTCCTGTTGGAGAAGAACTTAAAGAACGCAATATACGCTGCGGTATTACGAGTCATGTTTACTTCCGCAAACACTGAGGACGCTTGCTACGTGTGACGTCATCGCGTCCTCGAGTGCGCATGCGGGACACTTCGGTTGGACGCATTCAGTTCACACAGTAGATCACATACAAGTCGCATAAACTTGGAAGTGTGAACGGACACGCAAAAAAATCCGATTTCACAAAAAAATCGGAATTGAGCATTAAGGCCTGCAGTGTGAACGTAGCCTTAAATTAGTTAAGCAATTCTGTAAGTGTTCTAAATCGCTTTTGTCCGGGTCAGTTAATAATAGTTCATGTTTCTCTGGTTTCTAAAAATGAAATATTCAGTTTTTACTCTTGAAAATTAAATCCACGTCTGTTAACTTTTTTTTTTTTTTTTTTGTTTGTTTATATATTGTAGGGTTATAGAAGCTCTCTCTTTAGAATAAAGATAATTCTAATAAATTCATTAGTTTTTGGTCTAAGTCTGTTCTGTTTTCCTCATTTGATAGGGTTCTGATGTAAAAAGAGGCAGTTCTCCTGCATATTCGGTGGGTATATAAAATATACCCAGTATAATATATTATTACAGCTGTTGCTTTTTCAACGCTTCAGTTATAGACTTTTCAGTTAGAGGTGATTAATTACAAGAAATCATAGCAAAATAACTGTATTGCTTAAAAATGAATTCTAATGATCAGGGTATAGAGTTTGGGGTCGGTTGGATGCACACTAAAGCCCCAGTCCTGGTCAAAAAGTACAGGTTGAATGATGTGTTTTTATCGTTACTTACTGTTGAGTTTCATCTTCTAGACTCCAGAAAAAAAGCAGTCGGAAACGACCAGAGGCAGAAAAAGGAAGCCAGAGATCCAGTCAGAGAGCAGCCAAGGTTCATTTCTTTTTATTTCTGCTGTCAATATGTTGGACATGTGGAGGGGCTTATATCCATAAAGCTTAACACGTCATTGTTTTGTCTTTGAAGGAAAATCAGCTGTGCGAGGACCCAAAATAAGTGATTATTTTGATGTAGGTTTGCAGTTTTGCATTTCTTACACATTCCTATGCTTGTGTGGTTTGAGCCTAACAATAATTTTTTGGTCTTTTAGTTTCATGGAGGGAATGGGTCCAGTCCTGTGAGAGGTCTCCCTCCAATGCTCCGCTCACCACAGAACTCACATTCCCAGTCAGCTCAGGGTGTTGCTGTAAGTCATCCTAGATCTTACAGTCTTTATCCTCTTTTTTTGCTCCGTTTGATAGAAGTTTGTCTAAAAAAAGGCTTTCTTTTCTTTTTTTAGGTTAGACAAAATAGCTCATCTCCTACTAATATGTCTTTTGGGGACCAGATGACAAACCCAAAACAACTATCTGTCAAATTAGTTCAGGTGAGGGGAGCTGACTGAAGCCCAATGCAAAACGATTGTTTTGATAACTTTGTGAATCCTTTGAAAACATTTACAATTGATTTTTGCTGCAGACCGATCTTACAGTTGTGAAACTGGCTGCGCTTGAAAGTACGAAGAACTTGGACCTTGAGAAGAAGGAGGGTCGAATAGATGACCTACTAAGGGTAAGTTACACTGGACCGCTTTGTTTTTTATATTTTGGTGCCATTTCATTGTTAAAAAGTTACTTCTGATGTAGCTTATAGTTATAGCTGATGTTATTTCCTTATCCTGTATCTTAGGCAAACTGTGATCTCAGGAGGCAGATTGATGAGCAGCAAAAATTACTTGAAAAATATAAGGAACGATTGAATAAATGCATCACCATGAGCAAAAAGTTGCTCATAGAAAAGGTACATTTGATATACTTTCTTTTCACTGTTGAAAATAATGTGCAAACCCTGATACCAATAGCTGCTTGGTTCTCCAGAGCACCCAGGAGAAGCAGGCCTGTCGGGAGAAGAGTATGCAGGATAGATTACGTCTGGGCCATTTCACCACAGTTCGACACGGGGCCTCATTTACAGAGCAGTGGACAGATGGCTATGCCTTTCAAAACCTCGTCAAGTAAGCCATTCTTTAGAGATTCTGTCCAATTTTTTAATGGTTTCAATGAATCGCTTGAGTTGAACTCATTTTTCTGCTGGAGATCATTTCTAGTTGCGAGTTTTAAAATGTGAACCCTGTGTGTGCTTTGACAGACAGCAAGAATGGATAAATCAGCAAAGAGAAGACATCGAAAGGCAGAGGAAACTATTAGCAAAGAGGAAACCTCCATCCTCTAGCAACTCCCAAACACCTACCACAAACTCGGAGCCAAAGCAGCGTAAAACCAAGGCGGTGAACGGAGCAGAAAGTGATCCCTTTCTAAAACCCAGCCTACCTCAACTGTAAGTCTAGGAGTCTGTGTATATATTAAATCAGACAGTTGATTCCTAAGTTAACATTCTGTGTCATTAAGTTGTTTCTTTGGAACTTTTTGTGTATGAATGAAAAACCAAAACGTGTGAATCTGTGTTACAAAAAAAAATACACATGCACCTATTTGTAAATGAAGGGCGAAGATACTCAAATATTGAAATAAAAATGCCAACAGAATCATAAAGAATAACAGAAAAGAGATTACTATAAAGGTAAGAAAGCAAATGGAAATTTAGGTGATTGATGCAATTATAAAAAAATAATCTAATTGATGAGAAATTAACTATCCAGAACACTGAAGTATTGGCAATTTCAAACTTATGTGTTGGTCTGTAATGATAAACAATAAATGCATTAATTTTATAACTTTAAATAAGCTCATTAATACAGGTTTGCGTTTTTTGCGGTTTTTTTGGCCTCGTGTCTCCTTCTCGCCCTACTAAAGGGTCTGGATTAGAGGCCTGCACGGGACAGTCCCGCGCCCGCCCGCTCCCACAGTGTTCAGTCGCGCTCCCGCCCGCAATTCCAGCATGATTCTGACCTTTGCCTACTGTTCAAGGCAATTCATGTCATTAGTTTGCGGAATTAAACACTCAGTGCTTAGCTGAGCACATTACTGGCCGATTCCTCCCCGCATAGTGCATGATGCAGGTAGCATAGTGCAGGTAGCAGGAGCTGCTATATCCAGCACATTGTGATGTATATATAGGATAGACATAGACTGATAATTTATTACTTTATTTTACGTTTTAAAAGACGTTTTTAGTTCGTGGGACTGCAGCTTATCACCACTCCCACCCGCACCCGCAATGAGCTTTCAATATTTTGAGTCCCGCGGGAGTGCAGGGCTCTAGTCTGGATGACAAAAGGTTTTACTCCGGTGCATCGGTATCCATTCCCCCCTCCCTTTGTTGTACTGTTAGTGTCATAGATGTCAGAGAAATTAGGAAAAGATTGAATTGGTTTCAAAGGTGAATGTGACAGCTGCTGTGTGGGAGCTCTTTGAGTTCAAATCAGATAACAATATTATTGCATATCGCAATAATTTCTGCCACAATTTATCATTTAGCAAAATTAGTTGGCATTACAGGCCTACTGTATAAAATGAGTAATTTTGACTTAAAGAAACACTGAGGAAACAGTAGCTTGCAGATACCTGGAGGTTGGCTGCTCCATGGTTCTGGAGCCCCAGGTGGGAAAAAAAATGTTTTTGCAAACCCTGTGAATGCAGGAGACATGCTGGTGAAACCAGAGATTCTAGAAGTTGAGTTATATCTAAATATTTACTGGCACCTTTAGGAAGTCATTGACAGTACTATGAAGTCTGGACAATTTGTGTTCAGTATTTTTTTAATGAAGGATGTGTTAGAATCAGAGTAATTCTCCCATCTTCTTATTTTAAGGCTGACTCTAGCAGAGTACCATGAACAGGAAGAGATCTTCAAACTGCGACTAGGACATCTGAAGAAGGTTAATTTGAAATTTAATTGCCTAGCATTTAATATAACATTGTTTCTCATTTAGAAATGGTTACATTGTTTTATTTAAATTGGTAATCCAATTTATGCCTTTACTTATGTATGGTTTGTAACTCAAATATATAATAATATTTAAATTCTTTCTTGGAATCTAGTCAGCACTTGTTTCCTTATGCTGCAGTAATGTGATGATCTCCTCTCTCAGCTGTCAGTTCTCTAAAGTTGCTCCTTTGCCCTTGTGTGTTTACGTGTTTAAATCATTTATAGGAAGAAGCTGAGATCCAGGCCGAGCTGGAGCGCCTGGAGAGAGTCCGCAACCTTCACATCAGGGAGCTGAAGAGAATAAATAATGAAGACAGCTCCCAGTGAGTCTAAATGGGTTTTTCAGTTAACACTGGAACATAATGTGCACACAGATTATTTAACAAAACGCTATATGACAAATAAAGAACATTAAGAAAAAAACATGGTTTAACCTTTTCCCTGTTTTCCACCTTAAGATTTAAAGACCACCCCACTCTAAATGAACGGTATCTGCTCCTACATCTCTTGGGGCGTGGGGGCTTTAGTGAAGTTTACAAGGTATGCTCTGAAGCTTTGCTGTATCAACTGTTGAAAGGTCATCTGGACCTGGTCTGTGTCACTGACCTTTACCGAAATGTGCTTTTCAGGCTTTTGACTTGATTGAACAACGATATGCGGCTGTGAAAATTCACCAACTTAACAAGAACTGGAGGGAAGAGAAAAAGGAGAACTATCACAAGTATGTGGGTCCAGTTGGAAGGCGGGCAAAGGAGTTCTTGTTAGTTTATAATTGCTGTGTCTGGGTCCTCTTTTTTTGGTTTAACTCTAAATTTGGCCTGATATTTTTCGACAGACATGCATGTCGAGAGTACAGGATACACAAAGAGCTTGACCATCCTAGGATCGTTAAACTTTACGACTACTTCTCACTGGACACAGACACGTTAGTAACTTCCTGGGTATTTGTTCTTTCACTCATCTTTTCCTAGATATCAGCTGTGTTTACTTGATGTCTCTATTTGAACAGGTTTTGTACCGTCATGGAGTTCTGCGAGGGAAACGACTTGGATTTCTACTTGAAGCAGCATAAGCTAATGTCTGAAAAAGAGGCCCGGTCTATAGTCATGCAGATAGTGAACGCACTAAAATATCTAAATGAAATCAAGCCTCCCATCATCCATTATGACCTTAAACCAGGTGAGCACACCTCTTGAGCGCCTGGGGGCTGACAGCGCACAATCACGATGTTAGTCTTCGGCTTACTTTGCTTCGATTTGCAGGGAACATCTTGCTAGTGGACGGCACAGCCTGTGGGGAAATAAAAATCACAGATTTTGGTCTCTCCAAAATCATGGATGATGACAACTATGGCGTTGATGGGATGGATCTGACGTCGCAGGGCGCAGGCACCTATTGGTGAGGGAAAATGTACTAATAGGTTTGCAACATATTAACGATTAACCAGCTGTTCAGCTGTTTACAATAATAAACATTTGATTGATTTGACAGTCTAGGATTAATAGATTCTTGAATCCAGCGCCCATGTCTAAAAAAGTTGTATTTTTAGTACCTTTTTTTATTTACCAAACATCATATAAATCTGGTTTATAGGTACCTCCCTCCTGAATGTTTTGTGGTTGGTAAAGAACCCCCAAAGATCTCCAACAAGGTGGATGTCTGGTCAGTAGGAGTAATCTTTTTCCAGTGTCTTTATGGACGAAAGGTAAGGCCAATGGTTTGGTAATAGCCGTTTGTGTTTTGGTAACATAAACCTAAAACCTGTTGCTCCATTTCCACAGCCTTTTGGCCACAACCAGTCACAGCAGGACATTCTGCAGGAGAACACTATTCTCAAAGCTACTGAGGTCCAGTTTCCTGTAAAGCCAGTTGCCAGTAATGAAGCTAAGGTAAGATTCTCGCTTTGCTTTCACTGTGAAAGGATATTATGTGTTTGCTTGTTTTTTTTACCAAGTGGTTGAAACTTTAAATAATAAAAGGTTAGTTTTTATAATTTTCAGATTTTCTACATGATTAGGATCTGATTTGCCTTACCTGTTTTCTTTTTCCCATTTAATTAAATACCATTGACCTTGTGTTTTAGTTGGTTTCACTCTCATGCTGCTTTCTAAATCTAATGTTTTAGAAGAAATACTGATGAGTAACTCCAACATTTAATTCCCCTTTGGAATTAAGAAAGTGTTTTTTCCGATCGATTTCTATGTTCCATACTGTGTGCACTTGTATAGAAACCAGAGGGAGGACCATTTTTCCAATTTCACCATCACAATGAGGACCAGTTGTTGTAAAGCGGGGATATTTTGCTGGTCCTCACAAGGTTTTTAGTTAATGGTTAGGTTTAGTGCATAGAAAGGCTAGAAAATCATAGGGGGTGTACATGTGCGTGTGTGTGTGTGTGTGTGTGTGTGTGTGTGTGTGTGTATGTATGTATGTATGTATATATGTGTGTGTATATATATATATATATTAGTGTTGATTTAACTGAGGAAAATTTGCATAATTGATTTCTAACAAACCGAATGAATGTAATTTAGACGCTTTAGCTACAATATTAGGATGGAGTTTTATGGCGAGAGTCTGCAAAGTTTGAACACCAGAGTAGTGTGTGATAAAAGTATTTACAAGCTGTAGCAACTAAATATAAAGTATTGTCATATCCCCCCTATGAGAAACTTAACTACATGAATGATTAAGCTATAATAATAATAATAATTGAGATTTATTGATTTCACAATGTTTACATCTGCATTTAACCCATCCCCTTGGGGAGCAGTGGGCTGCCACTGTGCAGCGCCCGGGAAGTGATCGGGGGTTAAGAGTCTTGCGCAGAGACCCAGAGTGGCGGTCTGTGGGAGTGGATTTCAAACTCACAACCTCAGAATTCCAAGCTCTATGCCCTAACCACTAAGCTGCCACTCCCCATTTAAGCATTCAGCCGATGCTGAATGTCTGAGAGACTGACAAAGAATTGTAGATGGTTTTCATTTCAACCAGGCATGTCTTTAAAAATGTAATGTAAAATGTAAATGTAAAAATAATAAATTCAGAGGAAAAAAGGTATCTGATTTCAAATTAAATACCTTTTTTCTTGGTATTAAATATGCTGTGACATAGGGGCCATATCTCCTGAATAAGACAAGAGAGCACACAAAGTTTGTAAGGCTGTTCCTCACGCATAAGGAAATGCTTTCAATGCAAATTAAACCTTCCCATGTCTGGAGTCAGAGGAATAATTAGAAAAATGACTCGAGTTGTGAGAAATGCGGCAAGAGCAGCACCCAGCTTTGTCAGTGAGGAGGACGGGAGGCTAGGGGACGTTAAATCTCCAGAACTCAGTGCTGAACTGCTTGGTTATGCAACTGCAGTAGAAATTAGTTTATTTAGCAGATCTATACGAGTACCAGGCCTTAAACTAAGCTTTTTTTTTAATGTTTTTTCTTACATCTAAGGTAATGCTGGGTTTCAGAAACCACTTATAATGCATTTATGGTTAATTTAAAATGACTTTGAAAGGTTTACTTTAAGAACCCTGACAGTACATCTTCCAGCTAATGCAGTTTTCCCTTTTCCTTCCTTAGGCCTTCATAAGACGCTGCCTGGCATACCGGAAGGAGGATCGAGTCGATGTTCTCCAGCTGGGAAGCGACCCCTACCTGCTCCCTCAAATGCGAAGATCGAGCTCCTCTGGAAACCTGCAGCTGAGTGCTGCTAGCGCCGGCTCAGCCTCTTCCAGTCTCATTTCATACTGACAGTTTTAAACTTTCTAAGAAAAGCGAACCGACAACTGAAGTTGGAGCTGTGAGGCTCATTGGGACAGGAGCAGCAGGATGCGAGTGTGAGGATGTTTATCGGCCTCCTCTGACCTGCATCCGGATTCTTCCCTTCGCAGAGACTTTATCAGTGGAAAGATGGAGAAGTGTCTCAAAGAACATGCATAAAAGGATCGTTAGCTGTGGGAAGGGGGCTCCCAAAAAAAAAAAAAAGCACTGAAACCATATCTTGAAGAAAACGTTACTGGACACCCTTAGAGAGGATGAAGACGGCTGGAGCGTTCAGTAGCTGAATGGAGATTCGGCTCTGTGCCATTTAGATTTGATAAAGACTGTCCTGCCAGGATGCAAATTATACAGCTGCTAGAAGTTGATTTACTGTGAGAAGAAGTTGGTCATCGTTGAGTAGAATTGAAGAAATTTCACTATTGATTTGGATATATATATATTTTTTTTTCCCCCACAAACGCTAGGCTTTAATTTGAGTTACTTAGCCATGGGAATGTGTAGCATAAGTGGCATCTAGTGTCATGTAGGCTGGAGGAGCATACTTAAGTGCACAAAGTAACCAAATGTAGAAAAGTGATGTATAAAAAAAACCCTATGCAGGAATATTAATTAACATATAAATTGGAAACTGTATATGCTGTATAGGTGAATTTTCAAAATTTGAGCTGCAGCAGTTAAAAGTTTTCCTGACATAAAATAAGTTTCCTGGAGTTTGTTTTTTCATTTTGCTGCTCTTACTTTTTCAAGGGCTGTATGTTCCACTTTGGGTACAAGTTGTACAGTTATGCTTAAAGTGAATAATAAATTCCAGGAACAGTTTTTCTTCCCCTAATAAATGTTATAACCAATTTTCTCTCTCGAAGCAAAACTAAACTACAATTTTAAAGTGAACTTGGATGTTTTTGAAGTGTTTGATTTCCTTAATTTGAAAAAAATATGAACAGCTAATGAAAACCTAGTTTGGTTTCTTGTATTACATACGGAGGTCTGAGGATTTTTAATGTGGAAATGTCAGCCTGCTGAAAAGCAGTCTAACACAATTGGTGACAGTGTGCATATATGATGGATATCCCAAATGCTTTGGGTATCAATTCCAGCTGGGTGAATGAAACTATTATCCCTTCAAGGCTTTCTGCAGAACTATTTTTTTTAACACAATTCTTCCAATTATTTTCCAGTAGTATGCTCGCACACTGAACATTTCAAGCACTCAGCTTCTTTAGCAATAAACTTATAGCAGTTCCTGATGGGTGGTGTCAGCAGCCGAACACTAACAGAAAAAGAAAATGCTTTTAACCAAATTATGTGTTTTTCTGAAAAACTTTGCCATTATGTTCATGGGCAACATCACCACCATCTGGTTTTGTTTGGAACTGCATGCTTTAAATCTGTTTTTTACCCACAGGATAAAATAAATTGGGAGAAACCAAAATGCCAGAATCACCAGTCAAGATTATATCAAACTTTACTGTTTTTTTGCAATCAATGATGGTATAACACTTTAAACAAACCTGCAAAATCCTCTGCAGCTTAATTTAACTTGTAAGTTTTTTAATAGTCTAACCACTAAAATGAAATGATACCGACATCCACACTCAAATTGACCACATCTTATGATTGGCATCTGAGAAAAGTGAAACTGCATAGTACCAGCAATGTTTTAATTCAGTTTAGTAAAAATCTTTAAATTCATCTGAAGTTTCTTCAGTCTTCACCAGGAGCTGCTATGCAAACAAAGTTGTGGAACTAATTTGTGAGCCAAGTGGAGCAGCACCTGCTTATGATGCAGAAGATGAGGGAAAGGTGTCGCCTTTATCAGGTGCTCAGTGCTACGAGTCCACAGTCACTGTGAAATTCATTGATCCAGAGTTGGAGACTGATGACTGGTTGGAGTTTTGGGTCAGTAAACTGTTCATATGAATAGTTGAAGAGGGATATATGTTGGCGTATGAATTAACAGCAATGGTTGGATCAGGAGGAGAAGAAGAAACACTGGAAACTGAGGCCGGAAAGTTGAGTGGAGGAAGACCTGCAGAGCACAAGACAGAAGTCTATTAAAAAGCGCTCACTTGGAAGCTAAGTATTTAAAACAACTATAGTATAAATATTGCTCTATGAAACATTCTGCCCCAAATCTGTTTAATGTGCCTAATTTTTCAAATCAGAGTTAATCTTAAAAAAAAAAAAAATTCAGTTTTAAAGAATTTCGTGTACAGAGGAACAAGCTATCTGAACCAACCTGCCGCTTAGTGAGCAGGTAATCATACCCAGGAGGGAACCTGTCTGACGACATTAGGTTGGCTAAAATATGTTTAAAGGAGACAACACGCACCCTTCCAAAGAAAATTAATACCATGAATGAAATAAAGACAGAATTTAATATGGGAAAGATTTAAAGAGCAATGTCTAAGTTTAGGAACTCCAGGGAGCAACAGTCCTTTTGAATAAATGGAAATAAATGTAGAAGGGAATGAATTTTCCCAGAAGTAACCAGCCAATCGATATTATTGCAAGAATACATCGAAAATTAATCTAGGAAGTCACTTAATCCAGAACAGCATCTGAAGCTGTTATGTCAGATGCTGAAGAAGATTCTCAGACATCCAGGTCATAGTCATTCCGTAAAAGTTTAAAAAAATATCCACTGGACTTGGTTTCCAAGATTTGAAGCCGTTTCGCTACCTCTCCAGGAAGCTTTCTCAATTCAAATGTCTGGATCCGCAGTGAGTTTGAGTCTTATATAGACTTTATAAAGACTCAAACTCACTGCGGATCCAGACATTTGAATTAGGAAAGCTTCCTGGAGAGGTAGCGAAACGGCTTCAAATCTTGGAAACCAAGTTATGTCAGATGTTAACTTTATTTTGATTATCCAAAATAATATCCATGTGAAAAAAAATCTCTAAGAGGAGAATCTGAATATTCACTAGATCTTCTTACAATGTTTGTATCCAATCCTGGTTGCTTCTGATATTTGTTTGCTTTAGCCCACCAAGCTTTCTGTCACAATGAACCCTTGGGTAATGTCATCAACTAGCAACGAGTTTCTCTGGTCAAAAAGCTCCTGAAATTTAAAAAACTATCTTCCGTCAAAAGTTGGCCTCAACCTCCTATGTAGGCATTTTATTAAATGGTCCAATAGCAGAAAACGGAAAGGATGTCTGAAAAACAATCACCTAATACAGCTTTGGTCCTCTCATGGTATTTCTGTGAAAAATTAAACCTTATAAAAAAAAAAAAAAAAAAAAGTAATTTAAAATCCAAGAACACTGGGGTAGAACCTACCATTCTGCTGAATCCCAAGTCCTGGTGGTAGAACCCGACTCACACCTGGCAAAGTGGCGTTTAGGTTTGTTGAATGAGAAAAGGCTGGAAGACCTCCAGGAAGTGGAATGAAGCCTGGGTAAAATAATTCATAGCAGCTTTGAGACAGTTTAGAGTCACTGCAGTTTAGTTTTATTTGCAATAATAAAAGAATAAAACTGTAAATAGTTCAACATAACTAATATTACTCAAACCCTTTCATGGAAAGCCTCTTTAATAAACACAATAGAACTGTTCTGCTGTTATGAGCTGCTGTGATGATGCAGACAGCAGGTTCTGAATGGAGCAGCCATCTTTTTAAGTTTGGAGTCAAATAACTTTCACTGACACTAGTTCCTTCCAGGACATCTTAGTAAATCTCACCTTGGAGAATGTTGATATATGCAAGGTACCATTTTCCTGTTTTAAAGGTCAAATAAATTCATGTTCCTCAGAGACTCCAAACCCGAAAGGGGAACTGAAACCCCATAGTTTGCTCTCACCAAGTCTTGCGGGAAGACTTTTTTTAGTCATTCGAGAATTTTTGACCACCTGATTCCTCTGGAATCTTGTGGCGGACATTGAAGCTTCCCCTTTCTGCACTGTGGCTTTCCAGCTTCAACCCTAAAGCCTAAGCTTTAGGGTTGAAGCTGGAACATGTTAACCCGCAACATGTTAACCTAAAGCCTAAGCTTTAGGGTTGAAGCTGGAACATGTTAACCCGCAACATGTTAACCTAAAGCCTAAGCTTTAGGGTTGAAGCTGGAACATGTTAACCCGCAACATGTTAACCTAAGGCCTAAGCTTTAGGGTTGAAGCTGGAACATGTTAACCCGCAACATGTTAACCTAAAGCCTAAGCTTTAGGGTTGAAGCTGGAACATGTTAACCCGCAACATGTTAACCTAAAGCCTAAGCTTTAGGGTTGAAGCTGGAAAGCGTTCCTACGCTTTCCAACTGGAGCCATTCATGGCTTCACTGTCTTTTTAGATAATTTTCCTTATCCCTGCTGAGAAACTCCTTCAACGATTCCCTTGATTCAGCAGAAAATGTTATCATGTAACAACAGTTATGGTATCTCAGGTATTTCTAAAAAAACCTGATGTAGTTATAAAAGAACCACTTGGTTTGTGAAATTTATCAAACAAACAAAAAACCTGAACATGTTTTCATTTTACCACTAAACCTTAATCTACAGTTTGGAGATTAGATGCCGCTATAGGTCAGTTGTGACGTGAAAACCAGTAAACAAACCTGGTTGCGTTGCAGACCAACCATTGACAGGAAGAGGGAGGGTCGGTGTGGGTATTACATGGTTGGCTGGAGGGGTTACAGGATTTCCTAAAATAACAGCATCATAATATAACATGTTAACCACAGACAGCAACATATCCATATGTCCTATATGTATATGATTTAGTGTTTTTATCTTAAGTTTAAACACTTTTTTTGTAGTGCAGGACTGCTGAGTCCCTCATTTGAAAGTTAGATTCTTTAAATGTCTAAGAATCAGAATCAATGTTTCACCTGTTGGTGGGTTTATCAGGACAGCTGTTGGCTCAGAGCTGACAGACAAACCGCTGAGAGGTCGCTCTAATCCAGTTGGAGCAGAAGACGACACAACAACTGGAACGGTTGGAACCACAGCAGAGAGCTGGACCTGGTAACCACAATTTATTTAAAGGACAATGCAAGTGGAGTTACTTCATAAAATGTTCACCTACCTCTGTGTAGCCGTCTTTGGATGTGTGTGGCGCTTCATTATGACTATGTGAACAAGAGTTTTTTTCCTCTTTAATGGTAGGTATCCTGTGTAGGTAACCGAACCCAATCTTGCATCCAAGACTGTGGAAACACAAAGGTACGTAAAATAAGTCAAGAAAGACTCCAGCTTAGATTTTTTTTTTCAAAAAAATGTTCTTACGTTAATTTAAAATATAGTAAAACTAAATAACTTAATCTATGAAGCTAAAACTAAATTATTTCATACTTTAATACATCAATAGTTTAGAGTTAAATCCAGTACTAGAGAGATTTTTTTGTCAACAGGAAACCTCAGCTCCAGCTGAAATAAAAAAAAAGGACAATTTTGCCTGCAACTCAAATCCTGTATAAGATCTTTTGTCTCAAAAATCATAGCTTTTGTAGTCGGCTTCGAACTTCATCTAAACAAATCAGTTATCGGTCATGTTAACATTGTTGTTTGACTTTAAAATAAGAAACAGCTGATTTATTGAAGACATCCGATTTTTGGGACATGCAGTTTTTTTCTGATTGCAATGGATACATAACTACGTAAAATGAAGAATGCATCCTTCCTTGGGGAAGGATCCTTCAGGGGAAACATCTTGGCCCCTCATTTCCCACGATTCAATGCCGTTTCAAGCGGTTTTGTCAAGCTTCGGCAGCAGTGGTGGACAGTGGTGGCAAAATCCTGAATAAAAATTGAGAAAATACTCTTTCTAGGACCAAAAATACACTTTTAATTTGTTTTAACCCGCAATTCCTTAAATATTGAAAATTTCATGTTTGGCTAATTTAAAGGTTTTAGTCTATTTTTCAGTAAAGTTTGGGCCAAAATCAGCTCATTTTATTCAGCTCTACTGGACTGCTGCAGTTCCTCAAGGATTAGATTAAAACCGAAGCCATTGGTTGGGATTCATCACTTGCTGCCATCATTGCTTTAGAGCTCTGCATAAACTGGGTCCTTGGAAGGATGCAGCCCCTGAATTGGAACACGCTCATTTTGTCTAATGTTTTATAACACATCATACTATACTAAACTAATCCGCAATATATATGTAAACTATCTTATATCAAGCTCACTTATGCTAAGTTATGTTTGCTATCTTATGTTAGTTATTAGTTAAAATCACACATTTATATCCACCATTAGCATTTATATTAACTTTATTATCAGGTCTACGCTTTTAAGCCAGAAGATTATGACCACCTGCCTAAAGTTGCGTTGGTTCCTGAAACGTATCATGAGCCGCTAACTTCACCAGACGCTGAACGGCTGCTCTGGTTTCTAAAACACCACAGTAGCTGGTGCATAAATTCACACCTTAACTGGTCTGTGGCTATGGATCTTCGTACACAGCTCATCTGTTGGAGTGGACAGCATAGGACAGCCATCGTTGCCTGCAAGGATCAGGGAGTATTTTTCTGTTCTCACTCTGTCATTTCTTTCCACCTCTCTTCCTTCACTTGATAACTCCTGACCAGTGCGGGTTAGGAATACCCCACAGAAACCTTGCATTTGGAAAAACCTCTAACCCACTCTGTCTCCCCCCCTCTCTGACTGTCTCCTGACCTAGCGGGAGTTTGAAGGATTCATGCACAGCTGATAAAAACTGGTAGATCTTTTTAAGCACTTTCATGGATTCAAAGAAAAAAAAAACTCAGCTTTTATTGTTAAAAGTCAGCTTTTATTGTCAAGGAATGCTTCCAGCATTCCTTGACAGTCAGCTGGCAGATGAACTAGGTCAAAATGATGACGATGAAAAGCGGGAGGACTTTTCAAAGGTTGGGCCTGTGAAACCAGTTTGGAAGGAGTGTGAGATCATTACATTAGTATTAGTAACAAGATGCAAGCGTACAATATATTAATTGGCAAAGATCTCCCTTTGGAAAGATGGAGCCATGATTCACATCCTATTCAGAAGAATCAGTTACTTATATCATTACTTGGATAATATTCCTATATTGGCAGTCATCTTCAAATCAGCCACATGGTGACCTTCAAGATGTGTCCTACTTGATGCACCAGTTGATAAATAGTTCAGAGTCAGTGATGAGTGTCATTGTTTGGCGTTTCCCACATTCATATCTAGCTGTTGCACAAAGGATCTGCTTGAGAACAAATGACTAAGCAGGGGAGTGTCTTTTTCTATTCATGGCTAAAGGTGGTACAGGACATCAGGCTTGGGCACTTAAACATTTCACAATGATTGAGTTTCGTAGGAGACACCATATGTGTGCACCTCCAGCTTTTTTGTCAATAAGCTCTGTTTCAGTCAGGGTGCGAGTGGCCGTTAAAGACTGAACAATGGGTCAGATTAGTACCAGAAACAAATAGGTTCTGCACCTTTTGTTTCATCTCGGCAAAATGATCAGAAGGATAACCTCTCCCGTTCGGTTTAAAATAGTAATTAATTAATTATCTGCTTTTATGGTGGAAACACAAAAAAAGGTGGATGCATAATTTTTCACTGCAAGTACCATACCTGCCTTCACCACCCCAGTCAGAGTTTGGGGTAATGACCACCTCTCGACAGTTATCAGCGTCAGTGTTGTAAACATAGAGCTTCAGCTCCTTCCCCTCATGCGCCTCCACGAGGGAAAACAGGTCTTCGCTCTGTTCCAGGAACAAAAATACAGACCAGGTATGAATAAGCTGCAAATGGGAGAAAGTAACCTTAGTGTTAAACTAGCACAATATAGAACTCACTCATTGGAGTGTGTAAAGTGTAGCATGCACCCCCCCAACTCTGTTCCGAACAAACCTAAACTAATGTGATCAACTGCTCAAAAAGAGTTTTTTTTTTTTATATTTATTAGAAGGTACATTGAAAGCAAACAGAGATGTTTGCAAAATGAATCGAGATAAAAACAGGTGCAAATCTTTAAAGCTACAGTGTGTAATTTTCAGCGACATCTAACGTCCAGACTGCAGACCGCAGCAACATGAACATCTCCCCCCCACCGCTTCTCCCCCCAAACAGTACGGCGAGCGTTACGGGACAAAATGTCTTCGTAGACGTCCGCATCACCTACTGTACCTTCTCAAGTGATGAGGTTTGTTTACATAGAAAATTTTACAGATAGTATACTCAGGCATAATACTGCCATCTATTGTTCAGTACCGTCTCAGTTCATCTCTCTCAACTTGCCGTAGTTACTTTCGAGCGTAATGGGCGATCTCGCAATCGCTAGTTTGTTGGCTCTGCGCTGCCGTAGCGCAAAGATATCTGCCTCCATGGCTGCGAGACCCGCTCCTATGTAATTATAAATAACGAATTCTAAGGCAACGCAAATATTAAGGTTAAGAGGCTGAGCTCGTAGATGATGATAAATAACATAGTTATGTATAATATATTACATTTCTGACTGTATATCCCTATAATTATTACACACTGTAGCTTTAAAGAAAATCTTGACTATAATCCTAAATGTACCGACTGTGCAATCAAACACTCTGGATTAAAGAATACTCATATGTTAGAACGGTCCGGTTAAAGTCCAGACATAAATCTATAGAAAGACTTCAAAATCTGATGTTCTCAGATTCTCTCTGAAATCTGACAGTATGACTTGTTTTGCAGAGAAGAATGGGCAACAAAAAAAAAAAGTCAGCTGTGAAGGATTTGACTATTTACTTTATTGATTCACTTTGTTCTCTTATTATTTGTATCTCCTATGACACTGCTGTGTATTTTTTTCCTCTTGTACAGCCCTTTGAACTGCCACCAAACTGTGCTATATAAATAAACCTTCCTTGCCTCGAGGCAAAGGACCAAATGACATGCAACTTGACTTAGTTTGAATCAGGGGAAAATAATATAAACTCATGCCACACTTGTCAGATTTTAATTTCTAAAGAAGAAAAAAAACTTAGCAAACCATGTACGCTTTTCATTTTAGATCAGTTCTGCACTCCTGCAGCCTGACCTAAAATCCCAATAACTACAGTGATCTTTGTTTTTGTTTTGTGTAAGAGTCAAGGGAGTCTGAAAGATTTTGCAAGCCACTGTACAGCAAAGAGGGTACCTCACGCATGGCGGTGTCCGCTCCGATTATGTAATCGACGAAAGGCCTCAAATCAGCCAGGCCTGCTGGAGAGTTCGGCTCCACCTCCTCAAAATGAAACAAGAAGATGCAGAAACATTAGTTCAATAGATCCGATGAAAAAAATAGAGCTTTAAAGAGGCCAGGAAACACTCACCAAGACGTGCCAAACATTTTGATTGGCTCTTTCAAAGCTGCAGAAGCGAATGCTGAGACCCAGAAGGCCCTGTCCGCCCCATGTGTTGCTGGGTGTGATGGTCTGCTCCCTCACAGATTGCGTCTTGCTGTTGTATAGTAGCATCTTGACAGGCTTCTCCACATTCACTCTTAGAAGCTCTTTCAGGGTGTCGTTGTCCCTGTTCTGTTCAAGAAATATTTTTATTGTTTTGAAAACAATGTTTGAAATGGATATTTTTGACGTACCCAGCTGATGGAAACCTACCAGCCTAGTGTCGCAAACAGAGATGATAAAATCAAAGAATGGCTCCAGTCCTGCATGGTAACCCGGGGAATGTTCTTGCACCTGAAAAGGTCAGAGGGATTTTCAGATTAAGACAAGTGTACCAAAGCATGAAGATGGGCATCCACCAGAAAGACAATCTGTAAACAGCTCCTACATGTGAAGCAAAAGTAGATTCTAAATGCTTATTCAAAGATTTTATTTTAGAAACATTGATTATTGGAGGCGACTCTTGTGAGGCTTAAACATTAGGATGGAGGAAGAACAAGAGGATCAAAAGAAACATACTTTCCTTTTCCGCGGACAAAACTAAATACATTTGAATAGACTGATTATTTGTTTATGTTTATTTGGCATTAACTTGAGCAGATCCCCATACAATGATCTGCCAGAAAAATTACTATTTTTTCTAACCTTTAAAATTAGAGTATCAGATCATATGCACTTGAAATAAGTGAAATAAGGCAGTTGTTTTAAGTTATTTTAAACAAAAATAATTTTAGTCCACTGGCAAATTGTCTTACCCTAAAGCTAGGAAAAATATACCATCAACATGACCTAATGTCTTATATTTAAATTTTTGCAGATTACATGTTCGTATTGTAATTATTTAGACTAGGAAATGATAAAATCATGGGCGAGACACGGGCTGCACATACAGAAACACAAACAGTGGATTATAGATAGTGAAAAGCGAAAATACGCCTTTCCTATTTGGAACAGCCTCTGGCATAAATTGCTCGAAGTCCTGACCTTCTGTAAACCCTTATAAGCGTCTGACGTCTCCAGGAAGGACTTTTGGCTGACTGCACCTTTACCTTGTTGGTTCAGCTCATTGATGCTTGCAGGAATTTGTTAAAGAACAATTTGTTTTAAGAGGCAAAGGTGTGACTTTAGGAATGTGTGTCTGGAATATTTTTTTTCCCCACCCTTTACTTCTTGGACTTCTAATAAAATCTTTGTTATTGGTCTTACTTACCCCCTGACTTTCTGTGGAACCTACTATAGCCTTACAAAGAAACAAAGGCAGTTATTCTGTTTTTTCATAGTTTTACAAACTTTTCAGTGAATTGCTTCAAATTTTGTTCCAATAGAAGATTTTTTTTTGTTTATTTTTTTCTTTTTTGCAGTGTGGCCTAATTTAATTTAACTTCCTTAACTGTATAACAATTCGTATCTCAGATGATCCTAGAAAATACAGTTAATTAAAACATTGCAAAGTCCTTTTTTTTCTTTGAATAAGCACAAATAATCTACCCTCCAACATTCTGGTGCAATCAAATATAGTCCACATTTTCTATTTTGATCTCATGTTTGCGTTTCAGTCTTCTAATTCTATTATGAACTTTAATTAAATTAAATTAAGTGTGAGATGTAGCATCATTGTCATGAGGTCTGACCTCAGGGTATCACTGTATTGACCTTTTCTGCCAAACTGCTCATCGTGTCCCTCCTACAGCAGTAAAGGTTCATGTACACATTTTTTGGCCAAGTTTTATTTTGGAAAACTAATGTTAAGAAACAGACATTAGGCCAGCATAATGTAAGGGGAAATTGTTTTTATCACTGCTGGCAAAACTGGTATGACACATCACAATAGTATATAATCAGACTATAAAATGCAGTAACCCATTTTGTCATGTTTGTTGTTAAATGTGACAAAGAAAAAAATCACTAAGATGTTCTGATAAAATTATTAGATTGAATTTAACTTTATTTATCCCAGATTAAAGTCCCTTGGGGTGATGTGTCAAAAGCTAGGTTAGTTAGACCTTGGTGGACTGAATGCGATTTTTGGACCATCGTATGCATCGAGGTGCACTTCTGGTCGTCACAGTTCTTCTGAAGCACCTCCTGATTCATGACAGACTGTAAGCAGGATCTATGGTGCTGAACAGGCCAGAACCTACAGCACGAAAGGACCCCCAAACCATAACACTTTCCCCACCATGCTTCTCAGTGTGAGTAGGAGGTTATTTCTCTCAGAGAGCTGCTCTTGATTTATATTAAATTTCCTCTGTTCTGGTTTAAAAACATTTCAATCTTAGGCACATCTGTCCAAAAGAACAGTACTCCATATATTTTAGTTTGTTTCTTTGTCCTCTATGACAACTCTTCAGTTTGGCCTTCAGTTTTTCATAGAAAGCAAAGATCTCCCAATTCTTTGGATGCCTCTAAATCTCTCACCAGACCCATTAGTGAAGGCTTAAAAGGCTTTGGGTTGTTTCTGTATAGCTCATTATGGTGTTAACTCTTCCTTCAGCAATCAGCACAATAAAATGCACCCATTTTTTTTTATTAAATAGTATCCTAACCTTAAATGCCAGTAAACACATAAAGCTTAAAAAGAAACATTGGTCTTTGCCCATTTAAAGCATTGCATCCAAAATAAGTTGGACTTAACAGCTTTTAATTCTTAAAACCTCAAAATTTCTGTTACTTGTTACATTGGTTAGGGCTGGACAATATTTCACTGCTATTGTATAGGAAAAAAAAAAAATTTGCATTTGTCTGAAAATACGATTGATGTGTTTTTCTTTACCACTTTAATATTACCTATACTACGCCCAGTAGTCATAGATTTCAAACTTCTGCTTGATTTCTTAACGTCTTTGCCTTATTTCATTGCATGAAATGCTAAGATCCTTGAATTTGATCAATACGGGTGATAATGAATCCAACTAAATAATCACTAATAGATAAGCCACAGTAAAGGATGTCAAGATTATAACTTTAAACGAATTGAAAAAGACTGAAAGGAGGCTAGCCATGTGAACTAATTGGAAAATATATGGATCTGTTTTTTTTATATTTTTGATTTCATATAAAGTGTGAGAAATCCTATTGCATAGTCTACTGTATAGAGGAGCAAAGTGGATATTGATGATCCTGGTTTTTAGATTATTAAGTCATCTTTCAGTTGATTTATACAGAAACAGGGATATGATGGAGTTTTTACGTTTTTTGTTGTTGTTTTTTTTACTTTCAGCTTCTAGAATGAAGTTTGTCTAAATTTACTTCATAATGATGGCTGACATCATTTTATTACCGACTCTATCTGATTTCCGCGAGCCCTGCGGGGAGTTCACCAGTCTGCATTTCAGATGCACAGTGTTTACACCCTGGACTGCGTCATCAAGTAGGAGGGGCTTCAGCTGCACAAAGCTGACACCCTACTGATGTGAGAAAAACTCAGCAAATATACAAATGAATGGTTATTGCTTCTTTGGTACAGGTTTGTGCTTTTAAAATAGTCATTGGTAAAAATTAGAAAAACAATAAAATAAATAAAATTTAATAAGATCACATGTGCTGCTGTTTCAGAGATATTAAAGATTATTTTTTTAGGTCACCCAGAGGTCATCTATCCCCTCATTAAGCTCAGAATTTAATAAAAATGATCTAGCCTACTTTTTCAGTGCTACTTCATTTGTGCAGGTAAAACTATTCTTAGTACAATTTGGTTTTTAAGATAGCATTATTTTAAAATACGGCAGATGATGTCACCATCCTAGCAGAGGTTAGTGCTGCTCTCTTTTCCTGATATAAAGTTATTGTATAACATCACATGTCATTCCTGTGCTGATTCTGAATATAATAGTTGGCATGTTTACCTTATTTAATGGCTGGAATTTTTTTTATATTTAGTTAATCACCAGCCTCCAAGACCCTTTGCTTTGGACCTGCCTTTAACCCTGGCAATCGCAAAGCATTTCCTGTCAAGGTCTCTTGTGGTCTTTTCACAATAAAAGCATAGGTAAAACTTAACATAAAGAACTAGTGCTACATTTTTCTCTATGACCAACTTTTGAATAGCCTTGAGGAGACCATCATTGTTTTGGAAAAACCCCAAAAGCTCTAAACAAACAAACAAACAAACAAAAAAAATCACTTTGGTTCATCCAGAGCTGCATCTGAATGATGGTCGTATTGGCTGTACTTTCTTGTAGACCTACCCATGTAGAAAGCACCGATGCTGGGCAGTGGAGAGTGAATGACTGGGGTCTGTGCTGGAGGTAAGGGAGGATGATAAACAGCCCTCCTAGCACCAAATTAAAACATCTTTTTAAAAGCCATCTAAAAACATTGTGAAACCTTCCTTATTTTCACTTTATTTTTTTGTGAAAAAAAAAAGTTAAGCCTAGAACCAGTCCCTGATTGACTGCCATGTCGCAACTTTACAACAAAATTTGGCTCATTTCAACTTCATCAATCACCACTCGACTCTCGCCACGTGGTATTGCTGTTTGACCAGACCTCAATTGTATCTAGTAGCACGAGGTGAGAGCAGAGTAATGAACACTGTCATGGCGTGGGATTTACCACCGGCTACTTCACCACGCAGTTTGCAGAGGAATTCTACATGAATCCATCGCACTCACCGCTGACACTTATCCAGCCTGAACGCAGCATTAAGCTTTAACTCATATAACATAACATATATGTCTCATTCACAATTTCTGAACCCATATTGGCTGATCTGCACAGCCCAGGTATCAATATCAGATTGGAATAAACTGGATCGGTGGATCTCCACTATTTTTGCATGTGGTCCCAAAAAAGATGAACCGCATAATAAAAGAGCCTCTTGAATAAAACACTTAAATATTTTTAAAATAGCACTAAATGGGGCCTGGTGAAAATTTGATTAATCTGTTGATTATTTTTTCGATGAATCGCTTAATCGGATAACCAAAGGTTCCTAAAAGAACATTTATCTTAAATGCAAAATGTTATATATATATATATATATATATATATATATATATATATATATATATATATATATATTTTTTTTTTTTTTTTTTTTTTTACAATTTTGATATAATTACTGCTCTAATTGGGTTTCTCTGTCAGCTAAAGGAATGTTTTAGAGTCTCTGTACTCTTTAACTATACAGCAAATAATGCGCTGGAACAGACATGGTTACTGATAGGTCCTTTGGATCCAGGGGCGGATCTAGAAAAATATTTATGGGGTGGCAAGAGGGGGGCAGGAATTTTTTTAGGGGTGGCAACATATGGCATTTGTTTACACTGAATTTAATCACAGTTATCACAGTTTGGTGAGAATAGGAGATAGAAGAATGATAACACTACTTCTAGAGGGGCCTTATGACAGGAAAGGTATTAAGGTAAGACACAGGAGCTGAGTAGTAGATGTGCGAGATTGACTGTCAGAGAGGCAGCTTTGCAGCATTTGCACAAGAAGAAACTATAGAAAGAAAAAGTTACCCATCAGAGATCTATGGACTTAGCTGGACTAAAGTGAGCAGAGCTACACAGTAGAAATAAATGGGTCAAGACACCCGAACAAAGTACCAGACATCCATGTATTGTTTACTCTGAACACACATTTACCCCATTTGTTCCTCAGTAACTTGACATACAGCAGTTACGGCAACATGAAAGGGACATTTCATGCATGTAGATATGCTGTAGATACCGGTAGAGCTGTATATGGAGGACCAACTCTGCCATATTTAAAAATAAATACAGAAATAAATAAATGCTCAATACGTAAATAAGCATACAATTAATTGCCACCAAAAATACAATCAACAAATAAATGTAATTAGAAATTATATTATAATGGCAGGCAGAAATGTAAAAAGGGCAGGCAGAAATAAATAGCGGCGAAGAAATAACTAGGGTAAAAAAATACAAAGGAAGAATAAAACAGACAAAAATATGATAACATGCACATAAATAAATACTTAAAAATATAAGTAATAAAAAAATGAAGTTGAAGATAATAAATGACAAAAAAATAAATAAGGTAAATATTAAAAAGGCAAAGAAATAAAAAGAGTTATATACCTTTATGACTAGCTGTATAATTTAATTTCTACTTACATTTATTTGTTGTTTGTATTTTTGGTGGCAATTAATTTTATGCTCATTTATTTATTGAGCATTTATTTATTTCTGTATTTATTTTTAAATATGGCAGAGTTGGTCCTCCATACTGCTGTATCAACAAATCAACAAAAAGGCGGGTTCTGTATGTTACATCAAAATCTCCACAAATCTGAAAAGAAGCAACATAAAAAATACATTTTGCTTGTGATTAGGTTCATACAGGTCATTTCTGGATAGTTTCATATTACAAAAAAGAAACAACAACACTGCTTCATATTAAGCAGCACTTACACCAGTATCACATTTTTAACTTTACTTTTAACACTTTTGGTTTTATTAAAAGGAAATATCAGATTTTCTCAGGTGCCAAAACAAAATGTAGCAGCTCTGTAAAGGCTCACCAGAGAGCATAACATAAAGTTAACATGACCATAACAGCTGAATGCAGTGATTTCCATGTTGCTCAGCAAAACGCTTCACAACTTTATTTAGATCCAATGCCTTTGTGCGTTTTTATTTGAGTAAAACCAAACTTGATTGTCTCTTTTTTGTCATAGTTGACCGCAAATATGTCGTTATGAGCCTGAGACGTCAGGCCTAACTAACATCATAGTTAGAGAAATAACGTTCTGCAACCTGATTTTTATCATCTCAAAATCAGCATTGCAGCTATGCTAGCAACATTGTGCTTTCATTATGATTTCATTTCTCGATAGATAGTTAATCAGTTTTTACCTGTTTCATCCCGTGTCTCCTCTCCCCATGATCCCTGGCTCCCTCGCTTTGCCCCATTCGGTTTTCAAAACAATCAGTCTCAAGGCCCATTCATACCTCACGTAAAAGACGGATACGGATACGTGTGGAGTGTTTCATACGTTCTAACCGTCGATTTCGTCCGTACTTTGACACGAAAATTGGGAGCTTACGCTTACGGACGAAACGGATCAATACGGAGCAATACTACCGGAAACGGTGGGGGCGCTATTGAGTTTTTAGTACAAAATGTCAACAGAATCAGGTCTTGGACCATCGCCATGTTTTGATCAATGACGAATCATTGGCGCCCAGCACTGCCACCTAGAGGAAATACGGGTTATTGCGCACCTCAACGGACGGAGGTATGAAGGAGTCAACGGAGGGACAGAAATACGGACGTGCAGGCCAAACGTGAGGTATGAATGGGCCTTTAGTCGCTCTCGCGTCATCTCATGCATTCACTGCAGTCCGACATTAGAAATTAGCAGTCGTAATTCTCAAATTATCCATAATTTATAAACCTCACCATCCCTACCGCCAACTGGGGTGGCAGCAGGGGTGGCAAGGCTGTCATTTAGGGTGGCATTTGCCACCCTATGCCACCCCAGTAGATCCGCCTATGTTTGGATCTATTTCATTTTTTTTCTTTACAAAATCTGCTTTACTAATTATTTAAAAACAATAAGGTGATAGCTTCAGTGGTGTTGAGATAGGGTCCGGTTTTCATCTGCTAAATGGTTTTTTCAAAACAAATAAAAAAATGCTCTGTTTTACAGCCGAATTTATCAGTTTTTCTTGAGTTATAATTCAGATTTTATAGAAACTGTAAGTTTTACTGAAAGTCATCAAAAAATTTAAAATTCCTGAATTATAAATGTATATTGACCTAACAAGAAATAGAATTTTAATTAAACCGAATTAAATAGAAATTACACTGCAATTGCAATCTTAATATATTTAAATCCCTTGCCCTGTTTTTTTTTTTTTTTTTTTCATGCTTTTCTGTGCCCCAATGGAAAAAAAAAACGCTGGCCCCCCATCCTCCTGGCCCCCTGGTACATTTGGTCTAGAACCGTCACTGACAGTTGTCTCCTTCCAAACACAGCTGTTTGACTAAAGCTGAATTTCAAAATGATCACTTCTCCCCTGTGAAAATCTTAAATCAGGATGACATGCAGCTCCTCAGTAAAGTGATGAGCTCATCTGGTGTAGATAAACAGTCCTTAGAATCACCTCCATACAGAATAGACCAGGTGGAGACAAGACACTCCCTTCTCTATTAGTCACCTAGTGGCCCCACCGGTTGGTCTGGCCCCATCCACAGGTAACGTCCTCAGAACTGCTATGATAATAACTGCACAAACAGGCAGGGAGCACATCCAACAGTTCATTTCAGTTCATTTATATTCAATCAATGACTGTTCCTGTGCGCTATGATCCAATCTGAACAAGCGTCTCAATGCCAGCCTCGGTGATCGGCCTCACATGAACCAGAAGCGGCTGTTTTCATTCAGATTTCCGTTTAAATCCACGTGGAAACGCAGAAAAATCAGTTTCCTGCCAAATCCAGACCACTGCACCGCGATAGAGAGACGTTAATGTTAGTTGGGCTAAAAAAAAAACACAGCAACTGTGCTGATAATACAGCTGCTCTTACCCGGAGGACGTGGTAACCTTCGGATCCTCCCCCCGGGATCTGGACGCTCTGAGAGCCCCCCATCTTCCCCTGGATCCGGATACCTGCGCTGGTTTTAACAGGAGGCTCTGGGACAGGTCATGTCGTGATTCCTGCTGCTGCTGCTGCACTTCCTGTGCTGCAGTCCTCCCTCCTCCCTGCAAGCTGCCATGGCAACGTCTCCCCAGCTGTGATGTCACCGACTCCAAAATAAGACACGCGGGTTCATCTTTGTAAATCACAACCAGCTGGTCGAGTTTATTCATTTCACTAATTCAGCATTATGTATTTTCCTTTTTTATGTGAAAGCTTAGGTAAAATATAATACTTTTCAAGAACAGTTAAAGGACCTTATTACCTTTATAAAATTCAAAAAATGTAGATATTTTGATGGCAAAAAATAATGTAATAACAACGCCAACTTTCCCGAATATATTAAGAAAAATAAAAGTGCTTTAATAAGAAATTCATGAAAAACTCTGAGTGAAAGAAACAAATTTTTGGTCCAAAATAATCTTAGAGGCATTAATGCTGATACTGGCATTTACATTGTTTAGTTTATTAACCTAAATATAATTGTTAACAAGGCTTATTAACTTTTTTATTAGCTTTTTTCCTTTTTTTGACTTGTTACCTTTCTTTTCAGCTTAATTTACAGTAGGTAATATATCATTCTAGGGCTCATCTAATTGGTCAAATGTCAAAATAAGATGTACAGCCATGTAGCAGTATCTTTGCTGAATGGCTGGATATAGATCTTGTTCTTATAGACCTCACTGAGGGATGGGGGGGGGGCTCCATTTGTAAGAGGCATGCAAGTGATCAAAAATGGTAACTGCCCTATAAAGGGTAAACAAGGACTGTAACAAATAGACATTCCATGTATGTTGGTTAAGGTGTATATTGGTGCAATTAAAAGCCTTATAACAACTTTTCAGGTTTCTCTGACTACATTTCAATAAGAAGAATAGTAGAAAATACATTTTACTCAAAAACCATAAAAGAAATAAATCATGCTACTATGCTTGTTATATATGTTCATACTGCTCTTTTCTGCACTGTGCAGATTGTTAAAATAAAATAATAGCATGGTGGTTCTCTGGTAGTTTTGGCACACACTAGGACATGATAATAAAGACACATAATGAATAAGGGTTAAATAAAGTAGGGGGAGAGGCAGCCTAGTGGTTGAGATTGAAATCCTGAGGTTCTGGGTTCATTCCCCTGGATTGCCACTATAGGTCCCTGAGCAAAGACCCTTAACCCCACACTGTTCCCCATGGGGATGGGTTAAATGCAGAGGTAACTTTCTCCAATGTGAGATTAATAAAGTTCAATTAATTAATTAGATAGTCTTGGAATAATAATAATAATAATACTTAGCATTTTACCTGACTAAGTCAGAGTGGGACCAAACGTACTCTTAAAGTGTTACTTTAACACTGCAAATTTACTGTGTAAATGAATGTATAACCTATCTGCAGCATGAGGATAATTATCTTTAATTCTGTTGAGGACAGTGTGATATTTCCTGCCAGAATCTGATAGGTAGCAGCAACAGGGTAATGAAAAACTAATCTGGAACCTCTGCAGAAAACTTCACAAAGAAAAATTAAACACATAATGGAAAACCCTCAGCTTCCTCTTCATCATACTTTGGTGCAATATCAACCCCTATAATATGAGCTATAATAGCATTTAATTCCCCTTTGCTGTTTGTTTTTTCTGTTGTTGAATGATCTCTAGTGTTAATTTTAATCAATTTCGGAAAAAAAATAAAACTTCCATGTTTTTTTCAGTGACATCAAACTCATAATTTCCATATATATTTCTTCATCAACACCTTTCTCTTTAGTTTTAGTTTTTTTTTCTTATCCATTGACAAGTTGCTTGATCTACCTGAGCTCATGAAGTACCCAGTTTGTCTGTACCTTCACCTAACCTTAGATCTGGATGGTGTTTCATTACCTCCTCAAAGTACATCTACACTCCTTGCTGCTACCACAATATAATGATGCATTTTCATCACAGCTATCAGCAAATTAACAAATTGGGATTTGAGTTACATATAATCATCATTAACTATGTAAGCCCTGAGATATCCAAGTCCTAAACATTTTAAAGCTCTCAGTGGGGTTAGCTTAAATGGTAGTGGAACAGGTTATCATCAGTATCAAGACAATGCTGCCATCTAGCATAAACCAGATTAACTGCAGACCATCTAGAACTAATAAATGTGTCCCATCATACTGCTGGTTTAAGCTGAAATAAAAGTGTTAATGACTGTATATCACCATAGATTTAGTAAAATCAAATACTTTTACTTTTTTTTCTGTACCAAATAAATATCTCAGGAAAAAAAAAATAAAAACAAAAGATGGCCACATCATATTTGAATATTTTATTTCTTATGCTTTAGATACATTCTGTAACTGTTCATTGCTTTTCGAGTGGTGGAGGTGTTGTATTTTATTTTGCCCTTTCAAGCATTTGATCAATTCTAGAGTTGCAGCTACTTGGTGATGCCAGAGCATTATGATCTCGATCAATGCAATAAAGTTAATATTTAGAGCTCCAGCAAGAATTTACAATCAATGGAGAAAAAAAAAGTGCATCACCACTGTGCTCTATTACTTTTATTTCCACAGAAATCTGGGCTGCAGATCACAAGCCAACAGTCTGTCTCCATCCAGTTTCTCTCAAAGAGACACACAAATACAGGACTGCTTTTCTGCAAGCAAAGCTGTAGCTACAAACATTCTGAGCCATTAATGTCAGAGTCAGAGGCTTACGTCTGCTGTACATCTGTAGGTCGAGGATATTTTTGTCTAATAGATAAATGCTCTTGGCTGGCCGAGGCTGCTGCACAGGGAGGCAGAGATCCAATGCAGACTGGATTTTAAAAAAGCATGCATGAAGAAAGACAGTTTTTGTAGTTGCTTTACATTTTATAGTGCTTTCCAACAGTATTTGTACTCACCAAATTTTTCCAGATTTTAAGTTAGTTAGTTGATCACATAAAAATTAATATACTAATCATTTGAGCATCGTCTTCTAGTTTGGATCATTGTTTTTTTTAGCAGGAGATGATTCTCTGATTGAGCATAAAACAGTGTTAAAATCTCCCATCTTTTTTCCATCAAGCATATATAACAATCCCCCTGGCTGTATTATATTGTTTTCTTGTCAGAAGGCTGCAGTATTTCTGCCCCAGGCCTCATGTCCTTTTCATACCGAGGAGTTTTACTACTTTAAAAAATTGGAACTGAGATGGTTAAGTTATTTTCTCTGGACAATTAATTTACGCCCTTAACATTTGGTCCCCACGAAGATCAATCAAGCTGTGGATGCGCAATTATAATTAGTTCAGCAAACAGAGGCCACAAGGTGTTGAAATCAAATTTGTATTTTGACAAAATGCCCAAATGATGTTGGTACATTAAGACAAATTAATATATAGATGAATTTTCCTTTTCAAAAATCAAGCACCCTCACAAGAAAAATTTATGTTATTAAGATAAAAATAATGATGATACAAGGTTAAATGTAATTTAAGTAGTTTGTTTACTAAGCTGTATGTGTGTTAACGTGTGTGTGTGTGTGGGTGAGGTAGGAGGAAGAGCTGGCAGGCTGCCGGCACTTAATATCATCTTTTCATTAGACTTCCCTATCACACAATGGGAGCATCAGTATCTATCAGGAAACTAATGTGGTAGTGATTCCCAAAGGCGGGAGATATATTTAGCACAGAGAGGGATTGACAAGACTCTTTGATTTATGAGAGAGAAAGAGAGGGAGATAGAGAAAGAGAAGAAGAAAGTCAGTTATGTCTTAAATAAGTTTTCTGTTGCTTTCTTCATGTGTGTTCAATGGGAAGTTGGCAAAAACTGCTACTCTATAAAATAAGTTCCTAAACTTTGCAGCCTCTGACCCACAAAAAAGCACCAGAATGGTCTCATGATAGCAATAAAAAACATCCTCAACAACCAAACTATGTATTTTTCTATTTATAAGGGATGTTGTGATACACTCAAACATATAAATATGCTTAATCATTATACTTTTTAAAGTTTACTATGATTCCTTTAGGGTATTTCAAGACCTCTTGCTGATCTGTGACCCATTTATGGTCACAAACCGAACTATGGGGAATCAATCTTCTAGTCAACAGATGCCCATGTGAAGTTCTCTTATGCTACCATTCTGACACTTTTAGATGCATCCGTCCCCTAACACGCCTGAAAAATATGAGGGTGCCTCTGTTGAGCTTAATGACATGCTGAAGAAATTTAGCCATTTGATTTAGATGTGTTGGGGAAGGAAAATGCAGGATGGTGGCTCTGGAGGACTGGACTTAGGCACCCCTGCTCTAGTCTATACCATCATGTTATTGCCTTTTTCACCTTTTAAACAAGGAAAAAATGTGTGCAGATGATATTAATAAAACGTGTGTCCTCCTAATTCAATTAGATTAAGTTTAAAGAAAAAGCTTTATAGTAAAAAACATGGAGAAAAAAGAGACGTTTCAAAAACTAAACCCCTGATAAAAGCTTCCCTGATGTTCCAGATGTAACCAAACTTTTTGACACAAATTTTTTCTGTATCCAAAACAATACACACATACAGTGTGGCTGTCTTTTTCCATTGAGAAAGTGAGATTTCGAGTTCATTCTCCTCCTCCACAATATTTGTTTTGTCTCTGGAATTCTTCTGTTAAATTCTGTGTGCAATCTGAACCTATATACTTTTGTGATTTTCTCCTGTGCAAACATGGACAGTTTTTATTTTTTTTAGTAAAACATATGCAGTTGTCTTATGACAGTTTAGTTCAGATTACCTGCATAAGAGTTGTTTCTACCCAGAAACATAAATGCTTTGCTTTTATTTATGGATTGTCCTCATGAACAAAACATAGCTAGCTTTGAAGCAGAATGGGGAAACGCTATTTTTGTTTCTTCATGCATGATCTTTGCTTAGAGCTCAGGCTTTGTAGTGCATAAAATGTTTACCTTGAATTAAACAAATGGGAAATGGCCTCACTTTATCACTGTAAAATCTTCCAGCTCCAGCATGGAAACATAAGATTAGCTCCAGCAATGCAGACTTTGACTTGATCTTGATAATACACATTTCTACCAATACCTAA